TGAAGAATTTGCATGCAGCTCCTGGTTATCTATTTAATTAGACACCATGGCATTGTTGGCGTCCAATTTTTAGATGCTACTTTAAAGACCTTTAAGATTTCCTTTGTCCAGTCTTAAAGAAGTGTTATATTAACTAACACCAGACTCCAGATGAGAATATCACAGTGAAAGAAGCCATACATCCCTCTTCCCTGTCAAAAACAAGATAACTTTAGTTCACCAAAGGTGTCACCCCCAATTTGACCTTCAGCTTCTGAAAATTCTGTTGTCTAAACTCTTGTCCACTACATTTGATCTGGGATGTTTCTTAAGCTTAATCCATTCGCTCTCTTCCTCTAGCTAACTTCCCCTCATGTCTAGTACACACTAAGCTTTCCTAAACAATACCCCAATTAGGTAATGTTTCCAGGTACTCTCCTGGCACTCCATATTATCCAATCAGAGCACTTATGACACTATTTTCATTTTAATTTACTTAGCTTTCTCACTTTATAAATGGTAAACTATAAGAGGATAGACATCATGTCTGCTTATTTCATTGTTCTATCCCTAGAACAGTGTCTGCTATGGAGTGTTCAATAAATACTTGTTCAATAAGTGAGTGACAGAGGATCTATTGGACTTCACACTGATTAGCTTGATTTTGCAGATAGTGTTATAAATACGGTTTACTCTCATTTTCTATCCTACCATTCAACTACTTCTCCCTCAATTTTGCACCCTCACAGCCTACTATTGGGTTGTCAGAAAAGTCATGACGTATTTTTTCTATGTTTTTCATTGCAAAAATGTGTCATGACTTTTCCGACAACCCAATACAATTACACAAGATAGGTCCCTCACTTCAACTCTGGAAAATGGAAGCCATGGAAAAGCATGAAAAATTGTTTCCCATATTGAAATATTTTCAATATGATGAAGACTTGCACCAAACAAACCTAGGGAATCCATAGGCACTACACACATCTGAAAGATGGTCTGGAAGGAAGGACGCAGCTAGATGTGAGAATATGAGTAACACTTTCTTCATGTACCTTCAAAGTTCTAGATACATTAAAAAGGTTCATGGCTTTACATTTCCATTTTTTTGTTGAAACTTTCAGTTGTCACTAACTGTATATTCTCTTTCATCTTCTAGTACTATCTCTGTCTCTGATCACAAAATCCTGAATAGAATTTTGTCTTTAGCAAACATTTTACTCTCACCTTATTTACTGGTCTCTGATTGATTACTCATCATTTTTCTCCTCTCACCTGAGACTAGGAATATTGCAATGAGATGTCCTATATCTCTGTATGCTCCATTTTCCCCAGAATAAAACAAAACACAGGACAGGTATATCAGTAAATCTTCATCATGAAGTATTATAATCCATACCTTGCACTTATTTCATTTTTTATGTCAAGCATGTCTATGTGAAGGTCTCCCCTTTGCCCCTTTTATGGAAAGGAATATCCATGGTTTGTCCATGGGTCACAGAAGGACTGTTGTAAGACCCAATCCAGAAGGCAACTGTTCAACTCCATTATGTATTTCTACCCCCCAACCCCCATGGTGTGTAGGGTGAGTGGATATCTTAGTGCTTGCCCCCAGCATCCCAAAAGAGCAATAGGACACTCATTCATAAAAGCACTCACAAATACAAACTCATGCTTACACATACAAAATAACTTAAAAGGCTCTGAGGTGGCGTATCAAATTTTAATCTCCAGACTGCTGGACAAATAAACTTTAAAACAAAGGCTATCACAAGTGATAAAGAGGGACCCACTAGTCCCACTTCGGGGTAATTATCTGAAGAAATCCAAAATGCTACTTCAAGGGGACATGTGCATGCATGTGTTAATTACAGCATTGTTTACAATGGCCAATATGTGAAGGCAGCTTGGGTGTCTGTCAATGGATGAATGGATAAAGAGGAGGTGGTACATATATACAATAGAATATTTCTGCGATGGCATGAATGGACCTGGAAAGAATTGTGCCGAGTGAAGTATGTTAGACAGTGAGAAACAGATGCAATGTCATTTTGCTTAAATGTGGAATCTAAAGAACAAAACAAATAAAACAGAAATAAGCTCATAGATACACAGAACATTTTGATGGTTGCCAGATGGGTGGGGGGTTGAGAACGGGTGAAAAAGGGGAAGGGATTAACAAGTACCAATTGGTTGTTGCATAGTAATCATGGGGATGTAGGGTACAGCATAAGGAATAAAGTCAATAATACTGTGATAACTATGTATGGTGTCAGATGGGTACTAGATTTATTGAGGTGATAGATGGGAGGGAGGTTGGGGGATAGGGTGAAAAAGATAAAGGTATTAAGAAGTACAAATTCATAGTTACCAAATAGTCATGGGAGTATAAAGTAAAGCATAGGGAATAGAGTCAATGATATGGTAATAACTATGCATAGTGCCAGGTGGGTACTAGATTAGTCAGAAGGATCACTTCTTAGATTATATAAATGTCTAACCACTATGCTGTAAACCTGAAATTAATATAAAATAATATTGACTGTCAATTGTAATTTTTCAATTGAGTTGGAATAAGAGGTTCAAATTTCAAGGTATAAAACAAGTAAGTCATGAGGATGTAATGTACAGCATGGGGAATATAGTTAATAATATTGTGATTATTATTGGTATCAGATGGTTGCTAAACTTATGGTGATCACTTCTTTAGGTGTATAAATGTTGAATAACTATTGTGTACATCTGAAACTAATATAATATTGTATGCTAGCTATATTTTAGTAAAAATCTTTTTTAAAAAGGTGAATTCAAAAGAAAAAGAAAAGAAATAATGCATCAACAGTTCAGCTAGACATCTCAGTGAATACAGCTTTTCTGCACATACTGTATTTCCCCATGTATAAGACGCTCCCATGTATAAGACACACCTTAGTTTTGGGGCCTGAAGTTTGAAAAAAAATGTATTACATAAAGTTATTGAACTCAAGTTTTATTCATCATAAAATTCATACAACTCCTCATCACTATCAAAACTCCCAACCATAGCCAGTCTCAGATTGTTTTCTCAGTTGGAGGAGGACCAAACTTATGTTCAGCAGCACAATTTCCATTCATTTTTGCAAACTGGAACACTTTTAACTTGAATTCAGCACTGTACGAAAATCTTTTCTGAGCCATTCCTGGGCAGAACGTGGCAAAACGTAACCTACCGTAATATACCGGTAACAACTGCGAAACACTGAGTGCAGAGACAACAAGCACGAAAAAGTGGGAAATGCAAGTAAAAAATCTACAACCACAGTATAAAACGCATCTAGATTTTAGACCCCAAATTTTGCGAAAAAGGGTGTGTCTTATACATGGGGAAATATGGTAAATGAATTTGAGATGTTTTCTAGACAAATCATTGCTACTTAGAGGAAAACGGTAAATTTGGCACAAATGGAGCAGCTCTGTGTCAGGTTAATTTGACATACAAAGGCTTGGGAATGCATGACTTTGCATATCAACTTTTCAAACTAAACTTTGGAACAACAGCACCCAAATCACCTTTCATATGCCAAATACAGACTTTTGTGTACCAGCCAATGAGCAATTGTAAGCTGTCACTTGGGGAAGCTGCTTGCCTCTGGTGGTTTCATTCTGTAGCACTGTGGATGGAAAAGGGGTCACACATGAAACCTGACAAGCTCAGGAGACTGAAAAATAATGACATAAGAAGGTCTGAACATAAAAAATTTCTAACTAAAAGCGAGTCGTGGCTGGTATTCCTATCCTTGGCCTGTAGCTTCCTTGACAAAGGTCAATCTTTACCTTAAGTGAGCCTGTCTGTTGTCTTTTTGCATCTAAGATAACCTACCTTTGCAATATCAGAGTAATCTCTTTTCCCAGACCCCCCAGGGGCGCAACCCACCACCCAGAGCAGGAATCTACAAAGTCCCTCATTGTTACCTTGTTCCCCAGATACTATCTCTATGTGCTGTAAAATGCTATTAATTATGCTGTACCCACCAATGTAAAAGAAGTGTGTCTCTCCATTTTACTTTTTATCCAATCCCAGAGATTTCCCCGCTTTGCTTTCTCCCACCCCCTTATTATATTACCAATGGATTTTATGTAACCCTCCTCCTTTGATTTTAGTGTATAAAATAAGATACAAAACGGCTATTTTTCAGAGCATTTTCTTAATCCTTTGAGACTTCGCTTCCCAGAAATTGTCTTCAGTTTGGCTCAAATAAACTCTTATAAGCTTTCTCTTAGGCTGCATGTCTTTTCGTTGACAGGACCATATCATTGTATTTGCTGCACTGTATATTTGGGCAAATATTTCTAAATTTTTCATGTGTTTCACTGATAATTATGCATAAATTACCAGAAAAAAGAAAAGTGCATGGTATATACCTTGGTATAGCAGGGGTCGGCAAACTGCGGCTCGCGAGCCACATGCAGCTCTTTGGGTATGTTCTGTCTCAAAAGTTTGCCGACCTGGAAGAGTTAATCCTGTCCCTCACAACAATTTAAAAATTATTCAAGAGCCATAAATACATTTTTACATAATCACCATTATGTGAATAATATCCTTTACAATTTTTATAAATGAAACTATGATAAGTTTATTTTTATTTTCAATTTTACTTCAAAGCCTGCGACTTGCGAGCTGCAGTTGCTGACTCCTGGAAGCTCTTCCATCTCAGAAGTTTGCCAACCCCTGCTCTAGTGTTTTACTACAAAAAAAAGGCCTGACCACCAGGGACTGTTCCTAATAATAGCTGTCCCTAGCATGGCTTCCTCTGCTGGAAAGACTTTGGAAACTCATACTTTTGAAGTTTTCAGACCCATTCCCAATAAAAGGCCTTAAAACAGTCCCAGCCTCTGTATAAAAAGTTATATACACAAGATTGACACTGTAGTAGTCTTGATAACAGAGTCAGAAGAGTTGAAAAACGGGACTTCAAGAATCATTTACTGTTTCTCTCAAGGGCATAAATCAGTTGTATATAGGACACTGACACAGCTTATACTTTTCAGTAATCATGAGAGCAAATATTTATTATATTGTGAAGGACACTTAAGTAGGTACTTTCCATTGAGTAGCAATGATCTTAAGAGTTAGGTACAGTTTTAAATCTCAATTTCTATTTTGGGAAAAATAAACCTGTAGTTTCTTCGTCATTATACAGCTTATAAGAGAAAAGACAGGATTTAAACTTAAACACTTTGAACACAGAATTTTCACTCTGGGTACATATATTACTTTTGTTTTACTTTCCTTGACTCTCTAATGAACACACTATATCCTGGGCAACAAACCAACATACACTTAAAGGCTCCTTAGTTCTTGGTGGTGAATAGGGATTATCATGAACTGTCCTAGGGTCATGGGTGGTGGAAGACAGGTTTTGCCGTGTCTTATCAAGTCAGTGATAAAAGAAAATATGAATAAATGAAAGGGCAAAAATGTTATACTAATACTGCTCTGTCTTTAGGAGGGACTCTGGTCTTTTTCTGAGAATACGAAAATGGGTAAATGAGCTCCTCTCCTAACTCAAGCCAGAAACAGTGCAGATCCCAAGGATGAGGAAAAGTTCTAAAAAAGAGACAGCAAGGAAGAGATGGTATGAAGGGTACAGATGACACTGGGACAGGGATGCTGCAAGTGGGTGAGGGAATGAAAAGGTTCAGGAGTTGGGCTGGCACAGAGTCATGGGAGCTGGACAGTTCCAAGGATTGAAATACGGATAAACAGTCGGAGGAAAACGACATTTAGAGAACTTGTAGATGAGTGACCCGTGGTTTGTGATGTTAAAAAATGAGAGAGTGCCTGCTTCATAGTCTAGGAAAACTCCAACACGACAGGGAGGAACAGCCATAAAAAGAGTTAAGACCTTGGGATCAGCGGTGGAAGAGTCCTCAAAGGCATTATACTCAGATTCATTCTGTAATCCTACAACCCAGTAGCCATTTTCAGGTCTGAATCTGGAGTAAATATTTTGATAATTTACATTTGGGTTAAAAACAAACCCAGAGCTCTTTTTTGTATTGAAGTTGCTTATGTTACTGAATACCCCCAGGATCCAGGCTCTCTTCCCAGACACATCTACTTCCCAGTAATATTTCCCTGAGGAGAAATTTTGGCAACCCAAGACATCAAAAGAAGAAGGGTTGCATGGATATACATTCTTAAACATAAAACTCTTCTCAACTGTCACTTGTCTTTGATCTTCAGAAATGAGACCAGCTGAAGGACTGTTGACTGGATTCAGCTTGAAGTCCACTGTAGGGAAAATTACACATTCAGGTAAATTACAGAGGACATGTATGTTTTGTGACATTGTGAGGAGGATATTGGGAACTGACTGGGAGGAACTGACTGGCAATTGACTGAGTTCATGAGTCAGAGATGAGTAGAACACGTAGGAACTCTTGTGTGTATGATGTTTGGGAGGGACACATGGAACTAAGATCATGGGACCTAATAGTAACCACACTTCTGAAAAGGGATCAGAAAATGGTGATTTGAAGACCTTGTAACTTCTTCTTACCCCAGTAGCTTTGGACTTCTGTCAGCTCTGAAATGACAAAGGTTTGAATGATGTTATAGAAGAAAAGGAGGAAACACTGATACCTGTCTTTTCTCTCCAGCGGGGACAGAGGGAAGCTCTGTGAGGTTATCAACTAGTGAATGAGAGGACACCTGACCATTCTCCCTTAGATATGATCACACCTTCAGCACAGGGCATGACTCTGTCCTTGTCAGGCCTACCTCCTGTCTTTTGTCCTCATCTAGATACAACATCTACTGCCCCATTTTGCTCTGATACTATGAGAACCTGACACCCACACCCTTCCCCTGGCTCTCCTCACCTTTAAACAATTGTAGAATCCTGCCCAGATCTGGAGCTCGGAATGCACTCTTCAGTTTCTTGGAAACAATTTTTGGCTTCTTCAAGGTCCAGCTCTCGCTCCTAGAAGAGACAAAAATTGACTGCCCACACCTCTGACCTTGTGTCTCTCCAAGACCACTGTCTCCCTCACCTTTCACTCATTGATGCACAGGAATCCTCTTCACTGAAGAGCCTAAGGGAGAAGCAAGAGCCCTGAACCTGCAACCAGAAGAAATGTCCTCAGGTCTACCTTTCTATTTACCCACTGGGTGACCTTGGGAAGATCTTCTCAAAGAACCTCATGTTCTTCCTTCTAAAACAGAAAAATTAACCCCATGCTCCCAAGCTCTTAGAAACAATACAATATTAGATAAAAATAATGGTACCTATAAAAGGTGTTCGATGCTTCTAAAAATATATATATATTTGATATATGGAGAAGTAACTGCCATCTCAGTTATTCCTCCAGGGACAGGACAAAGATGTGGGTTCTCAGCCTGATGGTTGGGTAATGGAGAGGCTCTAGAACCTGGCTACTGGGAGTTTTAGGTTATCAAGTGTGGGGCTCCTGTGCTGAACTCTGAAGTCTCCAAAGCTTTCACCTCAGTACAGATGCTGAAAATAACATATGAGGTCACATTCTCTGGGGGTAATATTACAAACATTTGGGAAAAGATATCCAAATTAATAGTGGTCTGAATTTTATGTGCTTGGGAAGACCTTGATGCTGCCAAGTGGGTAGGCAACTTTACCACAGAAATCCACTTTTTCTACAAGCTGCTAAAGTGTATAAGCAAAAAGAGATTAATTATTGGCACCAGAACCAAACCTACTATTCCCCAAGACTTAGTCTAATTAATTAATTAATTAATTAATTAATTAATTAATTAATTTTGAAATCCAAAGATCACCACCTACAAAGACCTTGTTTCTTCTATCATCAGGGAGGGAAGAAAATATAAAGGAAAAGCCCTTGTGGAATATTTAGGGGCCTGGCCAATAAAGAGGACAAGGTCCTTCCTGTGACAAGACAGACACCTATAAAGTACAGAAACAAGTGCTGAGGCAGAGACTAAAGTTGACTAGAATAAATGAAGTCAAAATGATACTGCAACCTCTTATTTTTAATGCTTTTATTGACCCTATCTCTGTGACTTCCCACCACCCAAATTTCCTACCATGAAAATTTCATCTGTGATTAGCAATTGGAAACAATGTAATGCTCAAATTTCCAGGTCTCTCATTTTTTAAAAACCCTGATTGTTTCCAAGATTACTCTTATGACTATCATTCTGTCTTCACACACACAATAAGGACCATACCTGGTCTCACATACATACCTTCTTATGACGTTAATCACATCCTGGGGAGAAAAGAGAAAACATGAGTCCAGTATAAGGTTGCCAGATTGAGAAAATAAAATTGGTAAGTTAAAATTTAATTTTGAATCAATAACAAATATGTTTTAGGATAAGCATGACCACTACAATATTTAAGATACTCTACTACTGAAAAATAATGTGTCATTTATCTGAACTTCAAATTTAACTACACTTCCCAAATTTGGTCTGCCAACCCTTGAAGAAGGTGATACGCCTTCCTACCTTACAAAGCTTTACTCACTTGCTCCTCACACCCCTAGGACCCCTTGATAGCATGTGAATAAATAGATGGTCAGAGTGTGGGGGGACAAAATATAGAGATAAGACTCAGAAAAAACATCCTAAAAGACTCTTATGAGGGTGTGGGAAAAATGCTCCAAGGATCTGCAGATGAAATGTATTTAAAAGAAAGAAAAGAGATCTACTGTTTCTTTAATAGACATTCCTCAGAAGCCCTCCTTAAATTTTATGCTTCTATGTATCCTAGAGACAAATAAAGTTGAAATCTTCTATTTGTCAGACATCATCCCACGCTCTGGGGAATCAAAGATGAATAATTAACCATTATGGTCCTCAAGAAGTATACTTTCTTTGGCTCAGGAACAAGCGAACTAGCACTTGAAGTGAATGTTTCTCTGGCCTTCCTCTGCTCACTCTATACACCTCCTACTCACTCCCTACAGGGAACGTCATCCATTTTGAAGTATGAAATAAGCTGCAGGAATCAGCAGCAGAGAAAGCCTAAAATGGAATTTACTGTATCCCAACTATTCACATGCCATTGTCTAGAATGGTATTAATATCCATTCTGTCACTGTCTCAAAACTATATCTTACCCTGAATTCCAATATTGTATTAAGAGACAGTCCAAGCCATATCCTCAACTTCTGTTAGCTATCTTCTTTTCCCTATCATAACATTCCTTATTTTAAACAGAAATGTACCAAATATATTGGTAAATGTACCAAATATATATATCTCTCTCTATTCTAACTCTTCATACCAACAAACTTGGCCACTAGTTAGATGACTGCCATCTCCTCATCCTTTTAACCAAATTATTTCCAAAAAATGACCCAATATAACAGTTACAATAATATTAAAAGTGGATGATCTCCAACATATGTAAATTATAACAAAATATATTAAAGATCAAAACTTCAGATATAAAACTTTTAGAAGAAACCATGGGGAAAAAATCTTCATAAGATTAAATTTGGTAATGATTTCATGGGCAGGACACAAAAAGCACAGGCAACAAAAGAAAAATTAATAAATTGAACCTTACTAAAATTAAAAATGTCTGCATCAAAGGATACCATGACAAGAGCGAACAGACAATACACAGAAAGACAGAAAATATTGCAAATCATATATCTGATAAGGTATTAATATCCAGAATATATTAACAAAAAAACCTTCTAAAACTCAACAACAAAAAATAAACAACTCAATTCAAAAAAAGGATTTGGAAAGGATTTGAATAGCTATTTCTCCAAAGAGGATGTACAAATAGCCAATAAAAACATGAAAAGATGCTCAACATTATTGGTCATTATGGAAATGCAAATCAAAACCACAGTGAGGTACCAATCCATACCCATTTGGATGGCAAAAAGAAAAAAAGAAAAACCTCATGAAAAATAAGAAGTATGGGTGAGGAGGATATGAAAAACTAGAACCCTCACACATTGCTTGTATGAAAGTAGAACGAAACTAAGGAAAAGTTTGGTGGATCCTCAGAAAGCTAAACAGTTACCATTATAATCCAGCAACCCCACTCTGAGGTATATATCCAAAAGAATTGAAAGCAGAGACTCAAACAGATATTTTTATGCCAATGTTCATTGCAGCATTATTCACAATACCCCAAAGGTGGAAACAACCTTTCATGTCCATTTGATGAATAGAGAAACAAAATGTGGCATATGCATGCAATGGAATATCATTCAGCCATAAAAAGGAATGAAATACTGATCCATGCTATGACATGAATGAGACTTGAAAATATTATGCTAAATAACATAGACCAGACACAAAAGGACCAATATGGTATGATTCCACTTATAATATAGAGGTACCTAGAATTAGGGAAATTCATATATGCTGAAAGTAGATTAGCAATTACTAGGAACTGAAGTCAGGGGGAATGGGAAATGGGGGGTTACAGAGTTTCTGTTGGGGTGATGAAAACATTTTAGAAATAGGTAGTGGTGATTTTTGCACAACATTGTGGATGTAATTAATGTCCCTGAAGTATAAACTTAATATGGTTAAAATGAGAAATTTTATGCTATGTTTTACCACAATTGTTTAAAAATGTAATAATGTAATATAACAAGCTCCATGGAATTTTATACATTACATGAATAAATTATAAGAGATGTGAATTATATCTTTATAAATGTGCTAAAAGACATAGACAACAACTCTTTCTTAGGGTGGAAGATCTAAACTGTCATCTAATATCCAAATCTACTTTCAAATCCAACATTTTTATCATCTTCATTCTTATCAGTCTAAAAATAGCACCTCATGGTTGGCCCAGCAAGCAATAGATATATGATAAAGTGGCCCATTCCAAAGATCATTAAAAAATAGTCCAGATAACAGGGAAACTGTCATCTCAAATCCCAGTTGGCGAAGTTGTGGAAGGTAAAGATCAGAAGCCCATCACATATATCATAACAAGTTACAACAATTTGAAGAGGAGTAACATAAACTCAAAGTGTTTGTTGGTTGGTCCAAATGGTTGCCTCAGATTTATTTTTGTCAGTAGTGGTCCATGACCCTACCCAAGAGGAAAACGGTAGATATTGTCCATGATGTGACTTTACCTTTCCAATAGGTACAGTTGTGCAGTTTTCATTTTAAAGCGTATGGTATATAGTGCCCCATGGATGGAACAATCACAAGCCATCATTTCCCAGGATTGTGAGTTGTCTTTCCCAAGTACCTCCTTAAAGTGTGTGTGATTTTGCTTTCCTTTTGCCAATATATGAGCGAGTCATCAAAACTAGAGGACTCTTCCAGTCCTACAGATTTTGAATCTGGAGTTTATATTCAAGAGTTTAGTTTATTTGTTAGCATATGGACATTACCACAGAGTTCATTAAAAATGGGCAATTGGGCCGACCGAGTGGCGCGATGGTTAAGAACTCGCTTGGGATGCCAGAGGGCCCCGGTTCGGATCCCACATATGAGGACCAGTGACACTGCCCTCCACAGCTAAGA